ACCAGTAGAGGAAGGGCGAACATGGTAGTAAACCACACTGGGTTGCACTTAAACAGCTCGTGGATGGCGGTGCTGTTGCCAATGAACGTGATTACCCTCTTGAGGCCTCAGGCAGCCTTCTTGACATTGTTGGGGATCTATTCCACAAAGTAGCTCTTATTCTTACTCTGCACGTTGAGCATCTGCTCATCTACCTGTTTCATGTACGTACTTCTGCCCGAGGAGGACAGCAGCCACGGTGAGGTACTTGGGTTGCAGGCAGCCATCATGTTCTTGGCATTCAAGACCTGTGTGAGTTCAGGAATGGTCAGGACCTAGTATTGCTGGCTAGCATGGCTGATGAGGGAGGCAATGCTGGGCATGAAGTGGAGATGCAGGAAGGGCACCATGGTGATCACCAGTTTACATAGATCAACATTGAGTTGGCTGGGGAAATGGAGCAGGTGGTGGCCCCACTCCTGGTGGCTGAGACAAGGTGGTTCAGATCTTAGATGGGCATGCTCAGTTTCAGAGTATGGAAGCACATATCACAGAGGGCCTCGTTATCAATGCAAATAGGTCTTGTCAGTGTTCTATACCAGCTCACTAGAGAGGATGGCGTTCTAGGACTTGACCACTGTGTCAGAGACTTTGGGGAAGGGCACCACACTGAAGGTGTTCATGATGCCATCGGGATACTCTTCGCAGATCTTGCTGATGAGCAAGTTTTCCATCCCAGAGTCGATGCCTCTGCCCTGCAAATACGTCAGTTGTAAGTCCTGCAGGCAGTCACAGCTCTTGGCCTCCTTCCACACCACATACAAGGTGGAGTCAACCAGCTCAGCATCCTCTGTGTAGTGGCCCAGTTGTTGTCTGCCCAAGGCTGGCCAAAAACAAAGTTGTTTGGTCTAAAGATCCAGCCAAAAAACCTAGGCAGAGGTACATGATTCCAGGTTCTAGATCCACCAAGATGGCACGAGGAACATATTTGCCACCTGTGACTTCATTGTAGTACCCCGAGGTGCAGTCCAGCTGCAGATCATTGCCCCGGTGGTAGGTGCTGGTGGAGAAGGTGCTGTGTTCATCACTGATCACCTCCCAGAACTTGGCACCGATCTGGTTGCCACACTGACCAACCTGGTTGTGCACAATTTCTTTCCCTCGTGATGAACATTTAGTTTAGTTTTTTTTTGTTTTGCTCACCTCCAGTATGTGCAGGACAAAAACACAAGCCCTAGTTTTGGATTTTGCAGATTGCAGGCTGCAGGATGGAATGTGCGCCATAGGCTGGAACAGCGAGGTCCAAACCTCATTAATGAGTTTTCACATGCATAAGAGGTCATGAAATGTCTAAAGTATTGGGTCAGGTGCACCTTTGTCCTCAAAATGACTTTTTTTTTTAAATGACACTTTTAAGAGGTCTTTTGCAATAGATTGTTTTTGTTCTGATGTTTACAGAAACAAATCACTAAATTTATTTTTATGCATTCGTTCTTTAAATAATGTAAGCTATATAACAAGTACAGTCAAAATATTAAAATACTATAAAACTGACCCGTTATTCATTAAATTATCCTTACTACAGATCATAGCTCATATATGTGCTTGAGTTTTTGTCTTTTTTCTACTTGATGGGCATTATGGTAATAAGCACATTCTGCTTTGGTTTATTTGGGAATGTCTTCATTTCATCCTAGATTTTAGAGGACCATTTTTCCCAAGTGCAGGGGATTTTTAGATGAATTCTTTCTGGTAACTATGAATATAATGTATTACACTGTCTGTGGCCTCCATAGGTTTTTAAGAGAAATCAGCATTTAGTCTTTTTGGAGTGCCCTTGTGATGTGGCTTACTTACACACACACACACACACACACACACACACTCTCTTTCTCTCTCACCGCCTTCAAGATTCTCTGTCGATACCGATGGGAAAGGAAGTAGGGAGAGGAGTGGAAGAAGAGGAACGGACGACAATGATCGGCACACAACCCCTCCAGGGAAAGAACAGAAATCATGGGGGAAGGGAAACAGTGGTTGGTGTGAGATAGGAAAACAATAATAATTTCTAATCTTTCAAGGGGTCACAAGGGTGGGGGTGAGGAGGAGGAGCTGATACTAAGGGCTCAATAGAAAGAAACTATAAAAGAATTATGGCAGCATATGTACAAATATGCCTGATACAATTGATGCATGGATTGTAATAAACATTGTAAGAACCCTCAATAAAGTGATCAAAAAAGATTCTCTATCTTTGGTTGTTGCTACTTGGTTTTAATGTGTCTTCGTGAGTGTGTCTCCTTGGGCATTTAGAGTTTGCTTTGCTTCTTACATATGTAAATCATGTTTAATTCAAAATTGGAAAGCTGCAGCCATATTTTCTTCAGATACTCATTCTTTACCTGTTTCTTTCTCTCCCATGTTCACATACTAAGCCCCTTAATAGCATTCCATGGTTCTCTTTTCTTCATCCTTAAGACATCTTTTCAACTGTGCTATCTTCAGGTTTTCTAATACATTTGTTTTCTCTAATATACTGAATTGGTGAATTTTTAATTTCAGCTAATGTATTATTCAGCTCCAGAATGTGTTTTTTTTTTAATTGCCTGTTTGATAGTTTCAATAACTTACATCTTTGTTAATACTCTCATTTTGAATATTCATTGTTTTCTGATTAACTTTTTTTAGATCTTTGAGCATATGTAATAATGTTTAGTTAATCTGTATATCAGTTGCTGTTGTGTTTACTCTGACTCATGTTGGCCATATATGTGTCGTAGAAAGGACTGTGCTCACTAGAATTTTCAGTTTCTAGAAGTGACCACCAGGCTTTTGTTCTGAGGTATGTTTGGGGGACTTTAACCTCCAGGCTTTCTGCTAGCTGATGCACAGTAGCCATTTGTACAATCCTAGAACTATTGATTCTTTGAATAGTAAGTCCTTTGGATTATCTCTTCTTTTCCTCTTGTGTTGTAGACACTGTGACTTTTTTGTTAAAATTGAGACATTTTGTTATAATGTCATAACTCTGGAAACCAGCTTTCTCAACTTCCCCATGATTTTCTCTTACCTTTTTAACTATTAAAGGCTTTAGTTTGGTTATCACCAGTCTCCCTCTCTCAGTGTGTCATCTGTCAGCACTTTGAAGACCAGACATGCACCATGGGAGTACATACTTTCACCGCTTCAAGACTTGGCTCACTGGCTAGAAGTGCCAACTGTCAGTATTTTAACACCAAACACTCTTGTCTGGTTGTGCTTGTGGTTTCAACACTGTACCAGGCTTGCTGTTTGAGGGATTGCTTGCTCCTTCTGCTTTAAAACCAAGCATACTATTTCAGAAGGCCACCTGCATTAGGTACCGCAAGATAGCTATGGCTTGCCAGTGAGGTGCTGATGGGTGGAGAAACAAAGTGGGGAAACACGTGGCTGCTAACTGAAAGGTCAGCAGTTTGAAGCCATCACCTGATCCACAGAAGAAAAATTTCTAGTCTTGGAAACTTAATAGAACAGTCCTACACTGTCCTGTAGGGTTGCTATGAATCAGAATCAACTTGATGGCGATGGGTTTAATTTTCTCTTTATTCATTGTTCACTTATAGTGACTTGTTTCCAGAGTTCTGAGACCACTGATTCCACCAATTTATGTGGGGGTAGGGGTGGTGTTTGTTGTTTTTGAATTTATTTGTTTTTCTTACTGAAATTGTTGTGAGGGAATGGGAGTGTTCAGCTGCTTACACTGCCATCTTGCAATGCCCTTTTTTGTTTTGTTTTAATTAAATTTTAATTTGAGATGACTGTAGGTTCTCTAGCAATTGTAAGAAATAATATAAAGCCTGTGCACCCTTTAACCAGTTTTTCCCTTGTTAATAGCTTATAAAACTGTAGTATAGGATCATAATCTGGTTATTAACATTTACACAAATCACTGGTCTTATGCAAATTTATTCCGTTTTCTGTCTCTGTGTGTAATTTTGGGTATGTACCAACAGTGGCTACAGGATACTTCCATCACCACAAAGATCTCTTATGTTTTATACACTTACCCTACCCCTTCCTCCCATTATTAACCCCTGTAAAACACAATTCTGTTCTCTATAATGTTGGAATGTAATATCTGTAATGTTGTTATTTCTACCTATCTAAAAGGAAAACTCAAAAAATACCCACTGCTGTAGAGTCAAATACCCTATAACACAGAGTGGAACTGCCCCTTTGGGTTCCTGAGACTTTATGTCTTTACAGGAGCAGATAGTGTGTCTTCCATAGAGAAACTAGTGCATTCAAACTGCTGACACCAGGGAAAGGGGCATCAAAAAGTTTGTGGAAAAATGGAAATGAAAATGAAAGATAATGGAATTTTTCCATGGACCTTTTGAAGCCCCTTGTATGTGTATATATTTATGATTTTCTTCTTCTTCACTGAACATATTTCCTTAGGGGTTTATATAAATTTTCATATCAATATTTTGTTCCTTTGTAATTGCTAAGTAGTAAATAGTCTATGGTATACTATGCCGTGGTATGGAAGGACCATTGAAGGACAGGTTATTTCTAGTGTTGGACTGTTATGAATTAACTTCAATGAACATTCATGTACAGATTTTTTGTGTAAATGAAAACTTTCCTTTTTATGGCACAAATGCCCAAGAATTCACTTGGTAGGTCATATGGTAATCCATACTTATTTTTATACATACCAAGATGGAATAGCTGTGTCATTCTTACATTTGCAACAGCACTATGAATGATGATTTATTTATTGAGTTGTGTGGTGAGAAAACACTGGATAATTAGCTCTTGGTTAAGTGATACTTTAAAGTATGGAAATGCAGATTGTGTTATTTTATTTACCCTGGAAACATAATGAAATTGACCATTTAAAAAGGAAGGAAAAGTAGGATTATGTTTTGTATATGTGATAGTGGAAACAAGAAAAAAGACACTTGGAAGAATGTGCAGGAATGATGGGGATGAAATGTCCTACTCACAGACTCATCATTTGGATGTTCTTTTCCCAGAGGAACTCTATGGTGACTTTGAAGACCTTGAAACAGGGGACATGCATAAAGGAAAACCAGGTCCAGAAACTCAGGTATGACTTTTTTACGACGGCCATTTTCTTTTCTTTTTTTAAAAAAACATTTTATTAGAGGTTTATACAACTGTTATCGCAATCCATACACACATCAATTGTGTAAAGCGCATTTGTACATCATTCTCAAAACATTTTCTCTCCACTTA